ATGCATTTGTATTAGCTGGTGGTTTGTACTTGTGCCTCTTCACATTATGCGTATGTTTGCAGGCTGCATGTGACATGCGGCCATGACAAGAAACAAGAAAGAAACAGACAGCACAGGACGAAATCTCTCTTGATCCTCTCTCTTATTAAAACCTCTAAAGTCTTCCCTCCGTCTGCATTCTGCTTAGAGAGGCGCTAGCGTTGTGCCGCATCACCTGAGCAGCCATCACCTGACAGCAGGGATTTCAATCATTCTGCTGAGCTCGTAACCCCAACTCCACCACCGCCTCCCCCTTACTCCCAGTGCAGTCACCCGCCACTGTCACGCTAATTTACAAGTGCACACTGATGTGAGCACTCAGCTTTCTCATAGACCCCATCATGGGCTGGCAATTAAAGTTATGCATGATTTGAAACAGGAGCACAAATAAGACAATAATTGTCCTCTTTCCTGGGGAAAATCTGCTCAAAGGTCATAAGACAACAGTGCATGGTTATACATACATGTTTTTATGAAGAGAAAAATAGCTCAAAGGCAAATAATACAGAAAGCAACGACAGGTAACTGCAGTGCATCTAGCTTCACAGGTATACCAGTGCATTTCTACAGGGCATCTAGAAAAAGCTGTGCAGCAACTGAAGTGGTTAACAATAGATTATGTTTGCTCTTCCACTTTTGTTGGCTATATCTATGGTAAACCGCCTCCAGTAAAGTAGAGTAAACAAGAAGAGGCTCTGTGTCTGCTCTGAGCAACAAATCATGCTCCCACAGATTATCATTAGTCTCACCAGCCAGCAGAAAGCTAGGCAAGAGGCTTGTGCTGCAATGAATTGAACACAAATGTGTTCATAAAGAGGAGCAGCAAATCACAGCGTGTCTGCATTACCTTTTTCTGTGAGTCAAAGTTAACTAAGAGAACACCCTGATAGGCTAATCTTCATACACTATCCTCAAGGCTCTGCATGGGCTTTTGAAAACAAAGCACTATGCACTTTTAGAGCTCATAAGGAGCTTATGGAGCTTCCACACTTTCTCATGAACATGACATGCCATTTATGATTAATGGCATTACCGGCTGGGCCATGATAAGAGCTCAATTAGCTGTGTGGGCAAGGACCTTGACTCTATCTCCAATGACTAATCCCATGGCTTTTGTTATGATTAGCAAGAGCAGAGTTTTAATCTTGGCTTCTGAGTGCCTGGCATTGGCCCAAACTCAAATGATTCATTAGCAGTTAAAAATGCACCTCTGCTGTGAGTGGCACAATTCAGCACCGTATGATGGTGGCTGCATAGATGTTTATTTCCAATTACCAATCTCTGCCATTCATGTGCTTTGGCAAGACCAATGGTAATATTCATTGGTAGGAAATTAAATTAAGTCTTTTAAGTGAAATTAATTCATCCGTCCTTGTTAATATTTTAGCAAGAGGAGCCTCTTGAGAGTTACCATCCGTACTAACCCACTCATCCTCCTGGGGGGATGTCCTGCCTACATGCTTGAACCGATGCTAGTTTCCTACAAATATATTTCTATCTACAGAATCATTTCCCAGGGAGTTTAGCTGAAGCCCATAATCTCTACATAACTGTCAAACGACTGTGGATCTCAGAGTACTATAGCACAAAGAGGTCCCCTAACGAAGCTCTTAATAATTCACCAGTTATCCATTGAAAATAGTCAAGGACAACCTTTCAATCTTACAGCTATAATTTGGTATGAAAACTTTAGCGAGGCATTATGAGGATCCTTGATTAAATATTCAGAAAAAAAAAAAATAAACCTTTCGAAGAACAAGAGGAATGCTGCAAAGAGTTATATAAATTAGATGGGAACTACCATATCATACATAGGACATGCTATAGTAGTATTTATTTGTGCAGATGGAATAAATAAAGTATAAGAGATCTATTGAGGTAGTCGTTTCTGCAGTAAAAACCCATCTTGCATGATGCTGCACTTTGTAGCACTCACACTCTGCAGGGGGAAACGTAGCGCACCATCTGTTCACCGATCCCCAGCAACAAACAACAGACAAACCAACACAGCAGACAGACCAGCAGACATAGGCGGACACCACTCCCGCACCAGCAAAGCATTGTGGGAAACAGGGAGGCAGCTACATGGACGTGAGGCAGCTAAATGTGGGATGAAAGCAGTCATCAGCTGCTAGGTTTTGATCAGGAGGCCTGAGCTGACACCGCACACCGCGGAATGATGCAAATTGAGGCAGACATTGCAAAGGAGCCGCCGCGCAATGAGAGAGACTCTCGATAGCGAGGGAGCAGGAGAAAGGGAGACGATGGGTTGGGGCAAGAGAAGGAGAAAAAGAAAAAAAAGAGAACGTAGCAGCCCTACAATGAGAGCCTCAACACAGAGTATAAAAGCAGGAGAGATTAGAGAAAGAGAGAAAGACTAGTGTATCTTAAGAGACAGCCTGAAACAACGGAGACTTGACAGTGTGTGTAGGGGAAGGGAAAGAAAAAGAAAGAAGGGAGGGGAAGAAAGAGAGGGGAAGATTTGGGGATGCAATCCATTTTAAATCCGAGATGCCAGAAGTCCACACAACTCGCCTCAATCAGAATGGTAAATAGCCCAATGAATGTTATTATTGGACTAAGATTAATGTGGGTGGCTCACCACAAGCGAGCCCACACCCAAACAAATATGAACAAACGTGTGAGTTCACAGTCTGTCATATACCACTGTGAAGCAAACACATACACACACACACAATCTAAAGTGTTAAAAGATAGGAGAGGAGAGAGGAGATGTAATTGCCTAAATATGCTATGGACATGTGAGAAAGGCTTAAGCTTGCCCCCTAGTGTTCATCCCAGTCCCTGATGGCATCAGAACAACAAAGTGCAAAGAAGTCTCCATCTTAACAAGGTATTATGTATGTTATTACGTCCTAAAACCTAAGTTTTTTTCAAGCAATAGGGGGTATTAGTATTTGACCTGTTTTCAACATATATTGTTGCAATTTTTATTAAACGAAGTGTCATTTTTTTTACTATCTGCCTTTTAAAGTCTGGTTTCAAGATAGTGATGGTCATTTTAAGACAACAACAAGGAAAGCTACATTGCAAACAAGTGGAATGATATGGGCTATTTCAGGAATTAATAACTGACTCAATAATAAAAATAAATAAGAAATGAAACAGGATATATAGATAAATAGATTCCAGGAAAAGGGAATACAGTATATGGATATTTTCTGTAACTGGGCTAACAAGTATGTTGAATATAATGCAGTCTGGCATCAAAGGCCATAAACTTTGTCCAGTAGAAAAAAAAAAAAACAAATACAGTGAGAAGTAAACTTCACAGCTACTACTATAAGCCTGTGGATCAACATCAAAGTCAGCACTACATTAATAGAAAGATGCATTATTTGAAAGATAAAAAAGAATGTGATCCATTAACTAGACCTTCTTCTGCTTGGCTCTGGAAACTCTCTATTTTGTATCGCCAGCAGCAGATTTGATTTAATAATGTGCAATGATTCAACACTGAAATGTCAGCACCAGGCAAGGCAAACGAAGAAAACAAAAAAAACATTCAACATGCTTGGAGTAGGGAAATAACACAAAATTATTTAATGAAAATGAAATTGGATGAAGCAACCGTAAGCTATATGACTCAACTACCATAATCAGAAAGTTCATGACAAACAGCCCAACACTAAATTAGAAGGTATGACTTTTAATTGAACAAAAACTAGTCCCATACAACATTACGTTATACGCATATTATCCCTAGTGCAGAGAAATGTAAGCAGTTCTCTTTGTCTTCATGCAGTTCCATTTTTCTTAACCTTTTCCAGCTGCCCAGGAAACATCTGTCTGTGTGTGTGAAAAGGCATATTCATGAGCCCTCCTGTCCATGCTGTACACCAGAGAGATGTTCCAAAATCTTTTTTGTCTTTTGCATCTCAGCTAAATCTTGCAGTTTGACAGCTCGAATCCCAGTAGCCAAAGGTATAAAAGACAGTCACAACAAAAAGTGACTGCAGCAGCTTATGCTGTCATCATCTTAATGCGGTTATCAATGCTGTTTTTAAAACTATCTCTGAACAGTGTCAATATCACCGATAAGGGTAAATTCCTCTTATCATCACCTTGTCAAGAAAAAAATGTGGCGATTATATAAGCACACAACACTTTTATCCAAAGCACATTACAATTTGTCTCTCGTCACACACATACACTCACACACTGACTGCAGGGAGCTACCTTGCAAAGCACAGGAATGACCACACGGAGCAATTTGGGCTTCAGTGTCTTGCCCACGGACACTTATACACAGAATGAGCTGGGGACCATCAACCCTCTGATTAGTGTATGAAAGTCCTAAGCTACAGCCGAGAAAAGGAATTCCTCACATTTGACATTTCTGCTCGATAAATGGCTCAAGCGATTTATTGTCTGTTGAAAAACTAATCAATTACTCAAATGACTAGACCAATACATACCACAAGAGTCAACTGTTGATTCAGAACCTCACAGTTGCATTATTTTAAGACATATGCATTTGGGCCTGACTGCTGCTGTGTTATTACTCTGTTTCTCTGTTGCTTTGCAGTCTGGTGTTGCACACGTGAATAAAGAATGTGACTTAGTATTTTCTTCCTTTACTGGCACTGCAAAATACACAGACATTGCGTATATTCGTTTGTATACGTTTCTGTCCAGCGTTTGCTCTTCGCACTACCGTACAACGTATGTGCCTTGACTCTGTTTACTTCCTTCCAATTAATGCAAAACAAATATATATTACACAAACTATTGCTGTGGCTCCCTGTTTCAACATGACTGTATTCACAGTTGGGCAAAAGCATTACACACCCACATAAAACATGGCGCATGGGTCCTTTTACATGACTAACAACAAAAGTTAAGTGTCACTAAAACATGCACAGGAGGAATATACGGCCAACTTTCCCACCATCTCTATAATATCATGACACATCTGCTTATTACCCATGTTTGCTTACCTGTAAAATACACAGACATCGCATACATTGTTCCCACGTTTCTGTCCAGCGTTTTCTCTTCGCACAACTGTACAATGTATGTGCTTTGACTCTGTTTACTCCTGACAGAAGCGCTCAAAGGGTGCACTCCTTCTTGTGGCTGAAGGGAGCAACAACACTTTCCTACTACAATGCCTGAGTGCATGAAGCACTCAGTGACATTTTAATAAACATTAACTCCTGTATGGCAATGAAATGAAATGAGTTAATATGAAATAATATATATGGGTCGGGGCTTTTCCTATGAACAAAACAGTATAACTTACTCAATGGCCTTTTTGTCCTCACACTGGGAAGCCTAACACTGGAAACCCATGTCTATGATGCT